CTTTCACTTAGAAGAATCGAAACAAATAATATGAAATATTTATTTCTTTATTTGAACATTCATTTTTTCCTCAGTTCTTTCAAATTTGACTGTGAAAATAAGAAATTATTTGAAATTTCCGCAATTCAAATGAGAATTTTCAAGAAATTAATGTTTTAGCATGGCAGCCTATAAAGTTAGTGCAAACTGTTATAAGGTTCCAATGTTAAGATTTGCCGAAGAGTTTTGTCCGCGGACATGTGCGATGTGCTGCAAAACAAAAGAATATAACTGCAACAATCGTTGGTTAAAAAGAAAATTGAATTTTTTTCTTTTCTTTTAGCAGAAATCGTAAAAAAATTACGATTAGGATAATTATTACCAAATAATTAAAATACCAAAAATCTTTTCTTTAGTTGGACAATGTGAAGGTTTTACGCAAATCATGTGCCGCGATCCTCGCTTATATCAAATAGCACTAGCAAGCTGCCCACAAACCTGTGGACTTTGCAATAGACCTGGAGCAGGAGGAGCATGTCCAGACACTATCAGTGGGTGCGGAAGGCTGGCAGCATTTTGTACCGATACCAATGTCAAAAGGCTATACCAGAAAACTTGTTTCTCGCGAGATTGCCTTACAAATCAAACAAGTGGATTACCGATTATTATCGAAAGCAAATATGATTGTATTGAATTTTTCATTATCGTACGAAAGTCATTCTAAAAGCTTTATGCTTAGCTTATAATTCTAGAAGACGATTCTTACATTCCGCAGCATATTTGAACAATCTAAAATTTTTAAAATATTTTTAATTTTTGAGAATTGATTCAATACAGTGTGCAGAAACAACCGATACTTCTCTGAAAACCATTTTTGTTTTATTTTCGCCATTTATTGAGTTAATTGTAACATAGATGCACGACAGATTTAACCTTTAATAATGATAAATTTGCGCATAATAGCCTCAGGCAACATATGAAATGATCATCTAGCCTCAAAATCGCATAAAAACTGCTTAGAAAACAGCTCGTTTATAGCCACATCGTCGCCAGTTGAAAGTTGTCGTGACGACCATATCGACTGCCAAAAATACCAAAATCTTTGCAATGTTGGTGATTATGCATTGCACATGCGAATTAAATGTCGGATGACTTGTGGTTTGTGTTGATAAGTTGGAATTGAAAGAAATATCTTTTTTTACATTGGATCCAGGTGAAGCCGCTAACACGCTTCGAGACCAAGCAGATCCGTAATTACTTTTTGTAAATTTGCGCATAATAGCCTCAGGCAACATATGAAATGATCATCTAGCCTCAAAATAGCATAAAAACTGCTTAAAAAACTGCTCCGTTTATAGCCACATCGTCGCAAATTTTTTTTGAACGGACTAATTCTTTATCACTTGAAAGTTGGAGAAATCGTTTATCGGATAACTATTATCATTATTAATTGCATATCACTTGATATAAACTGAATAGATGTCAAAAAATATTCAAAAACCATGTTTGAGCAGCTGAGATTTAAAGAGGAATAATAATAATACGAATATATTTATATTTGTATTTGATTATCACTTTTTTTGACTTATTGTTTTAAGAAAAATAAATGAAATTTGAAATATAAAAAGCAAAAATTTTGGAACGGAACTTATTTGACGTGCTACTATGTTCGCTTATTTACTTATCCTTGCATCGCTATGCAATTTCGCTAACGGAGATGGTGTCGATATAAACGTCTGCGTTAAGCTTGTTCCTGAACCTAATGCTCCCAATGTTCTTAAGAAAAGGCCTTCTGTACCTGTTCAGAACTGCCAAGACCGTTATATGGCCTGCACCGAGATATTCAAGTTCGAGCAAAACGATGGAGCGGTACTCGCAAATAATCTCAAGCCGTAAGTTTTCGATTTCATTTTCATTTCAATATAACTGCATAATGATGATGAATTTATTATTATCATCCACAGAAAAATCGGCGAATGGTTGGGTGAATTTTTAAAAATTGTTTTAATTGTTTTAAAAACAGATTCATTAATCTTACAAGCCTTATTCTTCTTAATAATAAACTAAACTCCTATTTTTTAAACCCTTAAATTTAGAAAATTTTTATATTTTCTTTTGGCTTTACAAAAAAAGAGAAAAGCAATATCTTTCAGCGATGAGGATTATAAAGTTCCAGACGATTGTCAGAAGGACCAATATAAAATGTTAGCTCGACAAATATGCCCACGAACGTGTGCGTTGTGTTGCTTAACTAAAGAATACAACTGCCAAAATGGTAAGAATTAAGCAATTCTTCTTGATGTAATTAAGTCTAATAAAACGATAAGAATTTTCTAACGTTTTCGGTGACTCCCGCACATTATTTATTCCATTTGTAATTTGGTATCAAACTGCCTTATTCGTAATTTAAAGAAAAGGCGAAAAAAGATGGAAAAAAATTCGAAAAAAGGGCAGATTGAAAAAAAAGGCGAACCAAATATCTTCAGCGAATGAAACTGCCTTTCGCATCTCTACAAAAATTTAAAAGCAATACGGTAGGAACCTTAATGGCATTGGAAAGGTAAAAGGAAAAGAATTTGTACGAAAATTTCCTAAAATTCATCTGATTGATAAGCGGTCAAAAATTATCGATTTCAGTTGGAGGTGAGGACGGTCCATGCAGAAGTTTTTCAAGGGCAATGTGCAGCCAATTCCCAAATATTGCGTTACAGCTTTGTCCACAAATTTGCGGCCTTTGTCACTTACCTGGTGCTGCAAACATGTGTCCTGACACCATCGATGGTTGCGATGTTTTGGTGGGGTTGGGTATTTGTTTTGACAATCGATTTAAGAATTTGTGCCAAAGGTCGTGCTTCTCACGAGATTGCCTTACAAATCAAACAAGTAGGTTACTAATTATTATCAATTTTAATAGGTCAAAAAAGGCATTGGTACCGGTTATTAATCGATATTACGAATGTCACTGTATAATGTATTATAATCTAAGAATAATTTGCATATTTCATGGTCGCGCATGTGATAAGTTCCTCGCAATAATCGAATAATCGGGCCTTAGGAGAATCACTAAATCTTCCACTCCCATAATAATGTGAAAATTGTTCTATTTATTGCAGTATCGCAGGGAAGCTGTCGTGACGACCATACCGACTGTCCAAGGCACCGCAATCTTTGCAATGTTGGCGATTATGGAGTTGTCATGCGCGTTAAATGCCGGTTGACTTGTGGTTTGTGTCGATAGACTGGAAGAAACATTTTTTTTTCCTTCGAA